GACAGAAAACTATCAGATGCTGAGCTCAATTACTCAGTGTATGAAAAAGAATTGCTAGCAATCAAGCACACACTGATGTTATGAAATAGATATATTAACAATAGATATACAACAACAGTGATCACAGATTATGAAAGTCTCATCTATCTATAATTAATAATAAAATCTTTCAAATGCTTAGTACATTGAATCTCAGAGTTTCAAGTATATAATCTTTATATCAAATACTGAAAGAAATTGAACACTGTGATGTCTGATACAATCAGTCACAGACTCAATTTCATGAGTGAGAATTCTGTGAATCAGGTATAAGAGACATTCATATTAAACACACTGAGAGAATGCAAGGAATCAGAATGAGTGAACATCATAATCTCTTACTTAAAGAATGGCACAGTATCAGATAACAAGCATTTTATGAAAGTAGTAGAAGAGATGCTTTCAAACTTCAAGCTGAGAAAATTGAAAAATAATATTATGCTTTACTGTGATCTAGAATACATAGAAGCTCTCTATCTAGAATCTTTATTTTAATGTAACTTAATGACTCACATACACAAGAAATTCAGTCACTTAGAAAGTTCTGAACTTATAAATGTACTCAAATCAAGAGTATACTGATCAAGTATGACTGAGGACATTCAGATATATACTCACAAGTGTCTGAATTACCAGATTGTGAAAGAATCTAAGAAAGGGTTAGAATGTAAGAAAGTATAATATTAGATAAAGTGTACAATACAACTATTTAAATAATAAGAGATGAATCTCATAGACATATTACTACAGATATCAAATGAAAATTGATGAATAATCACTGCTATTGATTACACTACTGACTGATCAGTCATAAAAGCAGTTTCAGAGATAACAGACAAGATGATGATAAAGTTTCTATATAATGAGATCTATGTTAACTATGAAATGCCGCGCGAGATTCTAACTGATAACAGTGTGAATCTCATAGAAGAAGTGATGAGGCATTTCATGAGCTAGTTATAGACAAGACATTATAGAACAACATCATATCATTCACAGATGAATGAGAAGATAAAACACTTGAATGAAATCTTGAGTAACATGCTGATGAAATATCTAGTGAGTAAGTCTATAAGATTATAGAATGAATATCTCAGTCAGATGCTATTAATCACACAAATTCAGCAGTATGCAGTCTTCAAGTGTTCATCATTCTATCTGTTGTATGAATTGCATCTATGCATCCTGGAGAATACTTTGAAAAAGATGAGAAAGAAAACAGCAGTTATGAATGCAGTAGTAGCAGTTGCAGACACAGCAGTCACAGACACAGAATCAAGATTGAAAGAGATCAGTCACACACATGTAAAAGCTAACAAGTTACTTCTGAACTGAGCAATTCAATCAAAAAGAATACAAGACTCACTAGTTAAGAAATCAAGTCTCAAGATAAGAACATGAGTTCTTATATACAATGAGAGTTCTGAGAAGTTTCAATCTAGATGATTTAAGTCATATAAAATACTCAAATCACATTCTCTGAAAATATACATATTAAAAGAATCAGAGGGACAGATCTTACATAACTTAATTAATAATTTATAACTTATGAAAGTAAAGATACAAGATCTGAGCAGATTATGATTAGTCACAGTACTATCATCTGTGTTGAAAAAGAAGAGACTTATAATTGAAAAGTCTTACAAAGTAAGAGAAATCATAGACACTTACAAATCAGATGATCTCACTTATTTCAATCTTTTCATAATTATAAGAAAAGAATGAAAAGCAATGAAGAAATCAGGTGAATATCACACTTCAATAAGTAATGAGACTGTAGTCAGTTATATAATAACACATCACAGACAGCAGATGTAATGTAGTAAAGAGCAGTCTCAGAGTGACAGACTTACACATGAATCAGATCACAGAAGAAAAAGAAATTCAGAGTTGAATTCAACTGTTTACATCAGTTTAATCACAGAGATTATAGAGAATGAACTATCTGAAACATTTATAAATATATGAGACTAAGTCATCTTAACTTCTGAGAACACTCAGAGATCAGATGAGATTAGTTTTAATAAGTTATTTACTGTAGTAATCTAAGTGAGTGAAGAGAGACAGTATAATGCATAAGACAGAGTCATAAAAGATAAAAGCTGCTGAACCTAGTCACTGAACACTGTATTATATAGAGATCATGTAAGAGTAGTGACTAGCAGATAAAGAAAAAGTATAAGAAAAGAAAAGAAATAATGAATTGATTATCAACTGTAAGAATCAGCTGCAAAAGACAAATATTATCATACACATTTCATTTATTTTCATACATTATATATTTAATCTATTTTCAATATCACATCATCTGAAAAACATCAAAAATAAAGAAAATCTCAAAACTCAAGATCTGTAAGAAATTCAAGAGTTATAAGTCACTTTTATAATAATACTGTGTATATCTCTGATTTCTCTATCACTCTGTGTACAATATTAATGTCATTTATCACAAGATTAACTGAAATGCTAATATAGAAATGTGTATACATATACATAGAGAAATTGAAGAAGAGTATGAGACTCACAGAATCAGAAGCTAGAGCAGAGAGAGTGAAGATAAAAGAAGTAAAAGAAGAAGAAGATGCAGAATCAGATAAATAACAGCAGAAGTCACTTAGAGCTGAATGCTTATAACTTAATATACATATAATCTTCTCTGCAGAGAAGAGAGAGAAAGCAATAAGAGAAGCTTGAAAGTGAAAGAAAGTAGTCTCAGCAGCATTATCATCTGCAATTAAAATGATCTCTGATACTGAAGCAACTAAGAACTATTATTAGTATATGAAATTATAAAAAGTAGAGATAATAAGTATTAAATGAACACTCACTGATCTTAGAATTGTACATATAATTACAACACACATGAGACTTCTTAGAAAGAGAGAGAGAGATATAAGAGAATGTAGAAAGCAGAACATAGTATGTAAATAGCTCATTTTCATAACAATATCTCAGATAAGATGTATAAGTCTCACACTCACAGATGTAAAAGAGCATGACATCTATATTTTCATTTCTGAAAACACAGATATCTTTTACCTGCATCATGAAGTCAGATAACAGATATTAGAGAATAGACTGATACAGATCTATTATTCTGAAGAAATTCATTAGAGTGAATATCTCTGTGATATTAAACTTTACAGTTATGAAAAGCTTCTTGATATCTGTAAATATCATGACTTTGTATACAGTAAAACTCATAATGATTTCTTCTAAGAATAGAAAAATCAGTGTTAGAAAGAAAAAGATAAAAAAAAAAAAGACTTATAATTTCAACACTGTTAAGAGAGAGAGTGATTCTCTGATATAAATAAATAATTATCTAATTATAAATATTTAAAATAAATATAATAATCAGTATTCATGACTGAGCTTTAGATAGTTATGTTATACACAGTCTTCATACAATAAATTATTCTGAGAGTCAGTAAGAAGAGTGAGAGTGTACATACTAAGAGAGATGATTCATTAAGTCTATACAATATCTTCTTAAAACAGGAAGAGCTGGTAATGAAAGCAGAGACAGTAAAATCAGAAGCAGTGAGAGTAGAAGTCACAGAAACAGAGGTAGTGAGAGCAGAAGAATCAGACACAGAGACAAGTGTAGAAGATTGAGAAGAAGCAGCAGAAGAAGAAGTGACAGAAGAGATAAGAAGAGACACAGAAGACTCAGTTATACATAACACAGATAATTTCTTTATTATCATATTCTTCAAGTTCTTGATCAATAATTCAACATTGAGTTCACTATCATCAGTGAATACAGATCTGTCAATGTGTGAGAATTCTATATAAATAAAAACAACATATCAGCATCTATGTCTATGCAAAATCATATCAGAAAAACATGATCAGAAACCTACTGAGAAGGAAACAGTTGAGAATGTATGAGAAGATGAAGAAGATATATCATTCATAATAATACATTCTGATGATCATTAGAAGATAAACAAGTCCTGATCACATTTCACAATGTGTTACACTTACTGCTAATGAACTGCCTGGTATGAGTACTATGATGATACTTATTATAAGAACAGAGAGTCATTGCCAGGAACATATACAATGTGATAGATGAACAGATAGAAAGAGTTGAACAGAAGAAGAGACAGAAATCTTGAATGATGATAGTGTTTGATAATGATGATGATGAAGAAGATGATTAGAGAATGAGAAAAGTTAGTAAATGAGTAATGTAATATAATGAAAGTTTCTTTGTGAGAGTGTACACAGAATGCTAGCTGAATCAGAAATAGGTCATATAATTGTGAAACACTAGTGGTGAGCTAATTCACATGAAGCTAGGGCGTACAATATGGTCATGTGAGCATGACTGAATCTGGTGGGGGAGGATGTGGTTTGGAAGAATGTATGACTGTCAGATAATAACGCGGCTGCTTCTGAACTACTAGTGTACATGTACAAGTGTAAAGGGGCCATAGCGGCCGCTAATTAATTTAGCGTATGAGATTCATTATATAAGAAGCCGGCGTACGCCTGTAATCGTACGCTGGCTTAAGCAACCTTTGAATCACAGATGTTTGAAAAACAGCTTTTTATATTAAGTATGACAATTTTGAATATCTTGTTTTACCTTTTAATCTTTGTAACACTTCAGTCATCTTTCAGACCTATATAAATGAGATGCTGTGAGGCCTTGTTAATGTCTTCTGTATAGTATACTTGAATGACATTCTAATCTTCTCAAAAATGAAGAAAGAACATGATACTCATGTTCAAGAAGTATTGAGTCACTTAAGACAGTATCAACTTTATACAAACACTGAAAAATGCTTGTTCTACATGTAGAAGATTGATTTCTTAGATTATATTATTGAGATGAATGGCATTTCAATGAATAGAAGTTGAGTCTTCATCATTGAGAACTGACCAGTACTGCGGATGTACTGCAAGATGCAGATATTTCTAGAATTTGCAAATTTCTACAGATGATTCATCTATGCATATTCACAGATTACTATCTCTCTTACAGATCTGTTAAACAGAAGTGTGAAAGACAGGAAAATGAGCATAGAAGCTTCTATCAGAAACCGCTCCACCACGAACTCGCTCGATTTTTCGAATAAGAACCCGCCGATAGATCCATCGAAAAGCCCTCGATCATACGAGCATTTTGACCCCATTGCCGACCGCATACCCCGTGTGGTGGTGGAGTTATCCAGCCAAATGTGAACCAGACGTCGTTCGGAACTCCTGCGTGGGATTATCCCCCATTCTCCCCTACCACACCACAACCCCGGGCCAAATTGCCATACAAATTGTAAGGTGAAGAGACCTAGCCGTATGCACCAATCTTCTCGATTTTGGAAGATCCCCGATCTGTAGTTGTGGAGATATCTGAGAAGCGACCTCCGCGAAAACCCTGTCCATCTTTGATGTTCCAAAACACCAACGCCAAGTCTCACCCTCGTACCGCCCTTCCCAATCTGGCCCATCCCCGGCAGAAAAATACAAAACGATACCTCGACAATAATATCAAGCACATAATCAACAGACAACGAGTCAACAGCACACCAACAACTATAAAATCAGTATACCTCAAGGTCTGACTGAGCCTTTGATCCCTGCACAGTGAGATATATTAAATCTAGTTTTAATATCTCAATATTCAATAGATTCTGCAAGAGATTGAGAACAGCAATACTAGATTTCTATTGAATTTGAGAATTAACTCTATATTAATATAATCATTGACAAAGTCTTCTATTTTGAGATATAAATAACCAGTTCCTCTACATCTCACTTGCAATATTTATATTATCATATAGAAACAGACTTATATTCTCTATAATATCAAGACTCTGAAGAGGGAAAGTCTTGATAGAGAGTATATAATAGTGTATATCTTAGCAGTTTCTATCTCATTCTTCTGCAGCAGTCAATGCATAAAAAAAAAAAGATCTTAGAAATAGTTTTTTACTTCTCTTGAAAAAGTAAGGTGTTTTTCTCTGGGTTTTATACAATATTCTTACAAAGAATTAAAAACAGAGCTGTTTTCTGTTATAATTTCATATTCTTTTAAGTAAGAATTACTTTTTCAGTGGCTGAAGAGCTTTCATTAATACTTAATTCTTTTTTACACTCTTTATTAACTGATTTGAGTTGCACACTTGTTGTGTGAGAAGAATTGAATAATTTAGAATAAAATTGAATAGTTTTAATCAATTTCTCTGCAAAAAATTGATTTATTTTTTGTCAGTTTTTCTCTCAAAAACAGTCATATTATCTGATTTATTATCAATTGATATCATACTTTTCCTCACTGTATCCCAAGAAAGAGATTGTAAAGATTTTATTGATTTATCTCAAAAATCAATTTTAGTTTATTAGATTCTCTTCAAAAATCTAATCTAGTTACTGAACTAGTGTGAAAAAAATCAGGTGTTTTATACACAAAAGTATTTTATTCTACTTTTGAAACAGTCTGACTAACTTTTCAATTGAAAACAGACTTAGAAATATCTCAATTGAAACAGTCTGACCAACTTTTCATTGAGTGAAAACAATGAGTTCAAAAATACACTCAGTTGATATGGAAAAAGATGCTTTCTCAAATGCTATTTCTGAGATTGAAATTCTGAAGAGAAGAAAGAAAGAAGAAATAGAGAAACAACAAGTTCTTGAAATACAGAAACTTGAAAAAGCAAGCAAGATTCTTGAAAAGCAGTGTCTGAGTGAGATGAATGAAGAAGTTCTATTAATTCTTCATACTCAGACTAGACAACTACAGGAGATGATCAAGTTCAAACTTGAAATCTCAAACACAGTTCAAAAAACATTGAAAATTTCTAGTACAATCACTGACTCTTCATCTTGCTCTTCTTCATTCTCTTTTCCTACTTCTTCTTCTTCTTTGAATCAGAAGAAAACATATGCTCATGTAGCTGAATCTGCTGTCTCTAAATCTGCTATCTCAAAACCTGCTCAAAATCCTGAGAAAACTGAGAAGAATACTGCTCATGCCCCTATTCATAGAAAAGTGAAAAAGAAAATGCAAAAAGAGAAAAACTTTCAAATCTTCAGAAATAGAAGACTTATTCTCAAAGTCTCAAACCAGGACATTCTGCAAATAAACAAGCTAAACTCAAATCTTATTTTCAGAATTAGAAATGAAATTAATCAGCAGTTCTTTTCTCAGTTGATAACTGATATTAAAGTTCAAAAACCAGTTATAGCTTCAATTGAGTCATTATTCTTTGAAAACTTCATCATTCTGACTACAATGCCTGAATTCAGTGCTGAATTCCTTATTCAGAATGAGAATCTCTGAAAGTCAGCAGTAGAATCTTTGTTAAACACAACAATTCTATCTGAAAGAGATGAAAAGTGAGATAAATTCATTCTTCATGATATTCCAGTTGAAATTTTTGACTGTGAAGAAGAAATGCTACTTCTCAAAAATGAATTGAAAGAATATAACTCTATTCAACTGAGAAAGAAGCCTGTATGACTAAATTCAATTGAGTTCAGATAAAGCAGGAGAAATGCCTCTGTTTTAGTATATATAAAAATACTCAAACAGTCAAAGATCTCTGAAGTAAGAGTAGCAGATTTGAAAATGAGAGTTCATAAATACAAAGACTCAAGAATGAATCTCAAAGCTCAAACACAGTGTTCAAACTGTCAAAGATATGAACACTTTGCAATCTCATGTTTTAGAGACTCAAAATGTGCATTCTGTGCCAGAGATCACAAAACTGGTGAGCATAAATGTGAAACATGCTTAAAAAGAGATGAAATTTGTCAATATACTCTGCTTAAGTGCTCTAATTACAAAGAAAAACATGCATCTAGCTCAAAAGAATGTATGTTTGCTTCTAGAACTCAAAAGAACTGGAGAAAAGATGAAGCTCAAAGTCAATCTAGAACTGAAGAGAAGAGTCAAGTCAGTAGACTTACAACTACAAGCTCAAAAAGAAGGAACTCTTAACTATCTAAATCTTCAAACTCTAATTCTCCAGCTAAATGTAAACAGAATTTGAATTCTCAAACTTCTGTTAAGATTAGAGAATTGAGAAATGACTCTGATGATAAACTAGATATAATGCAAGCAGTTGAGATTCCTACTTTTAAGAATAGTTATAATCTACTATCTGATGATAGTGATTAGATTCTACTCTTCTCTCTTTTAGTATGAATATACAACAAAAACAACAAAAAAAGTTTAAAAACTCTTCAAAAATTACATTTATACAAAATAATGTGAATAGAAACTTAAATTGCATTTATTCTTGTCTTCAAATTGCATTTGAATAAAAAGTTGATTTTATACTACTTCAGGAGCTGAATTTTGATGCTGAGCAAAAATATGTTATTTCTCATTCAAGCTACTACTGCTTTTTACCTTGAAAGTCTGAGATAAAGTCAAGAGTAGTAATCTATGAAAGAAAGAGATCAAGATATCAATTTAATCTAAGATTTAATATCATGTCTGACTCTGATATTCTGGTGAGTGATATTATAGATAAAGAAAATGAGTTTAATACTATACAGCTCATAAATATCTATAATGAAAAGTCATTGAAGGAAAATAACAATATCTGAACAATTGATAGAGAATTTCTGAACATAACTTCATTAAGAAACTCTATAATTGCAGGAGATTTCAATGCACATCATCTCTGATGAAATTCAGAATGCAAGAGAGCAGTGAGAGCTGATAATCTAGTTGAATGAATCTTTGAGCATTCAATAGATTTGGTTAATAAGTCTGATCAATAAACATTCTTTAGAAAAGACATGAAACAGAAATCTATTATAGATCTAATCTTCATGTCACAAAATCTAATGAAAAGAAGACTTGTAAACTGGTTTATTAATTTAAATGAGACATCAGAATCAGATCATGAGATTATTCAATTTGAGATTGAACTGAGTGAAAAACAAATAAGTGAAAATCCTCTTCTCTCTAATCAGTTTAACTTTGAAAAAGCTGATTGAAAAGCAGTTGAACAAAGCATAAAACTGTTAAAATCTGAAAGACAGAATGAGCTATATTGAAATTCTGGTCAAGATATCTCAAATGAAATGCTTGAGAATAGAGTGAAGCTTATTACATCTATTATTCTAACAAGTATTAGAGATAATATTTCAAAGAGAAAATCTTCTGAGTATTCAAAACCTTAATGAAATGAGAATATCTCATTTAAAAGAAAAGAATTAGCTACTGCTAGAAGAGATTGAAAGAATAATGTAATATCTGATGAAGAGTTCAAAGCTGTCAGAAATAAATATTTTTCAGATATTAAAAAAGCTAAAACAGACTGCTGAAATAAATTTCTTAAAGAAGCACAAGAAAAGGAAGTTTTTAAAGCTTTTAACTATACTAAAACAAGAAGTGTAGTAAAACTTTCAACCTTAAAATATGAGTTTCAGAATGAATCATATACAGCAAACTCTTTTGAGAAAAAATGTCAAGCTTTTATGAGAACTCTCTTTCAATACTCATCAGATTCAGATTCAGAGAAAGAGAATATATCACTTCTTAACTATATTGATGAAAATGACTGGGAATGACCTGATCTTACTCAAGATGAATTAGAGTCAGCTATTTTCTCAAGTTCAGTTAAGACTGCTGCAGGACCTGATTCAATTAATTACTTAATTATTCAAAATATATACTTCTACTTAAAGAATGAATATTTTGAGCTCTTTTTCAATCTCTTGAAAAATGAATATCATTCTGAATGCTGAAGAGAAGTCACTGAAGTGATTCTTACAAAGCCTAATAGAAAAACTTCAATTTCTAAGTCATATAGAGTAATATCTCTATTGAACTGTCTAGAAAAGGTTTTAGAAAAGATAATAGCTACTTAACTATCTTTTATAAGCTCTGTCAGTAATTCTCTTTTATTCAGTGAATAAATGAGAGATAGAAAATAGTGTTCTGCAATTGACACTGTTCTCTCAGTTGTTCATAATATTCAAATAGCGAAGTATGAAGGTCTGGTCTCAACTGTAGTTTTTATTGATATAAAAGAAGTATTTGATCATGTTTCAAAGTCAAAGCTAATTCAGACATTGAAGATGTTAAAACTACCACTTTCTCTAATAAAATGAGTTAACTGTTTTATATTTAAAAGAATTATACAACTTTTCTTTGATGAAATGAAATAAGATAAGACTGAGATAAAAATAGAAGTATCATAAGAATCTTTAATCTCACTCATTTTATTTGCAATATACACTGCATATCTATTCAAGAATAGAAATATGAGAATAGTGAGATCTCTGAGTTATATGAATGATATTGATCTAGTCTACAGCTCAAAAACTATCAAAGAGAATTTGAAAGTGATTGAAGAAGCTGCAAAGAAAATCTTTGTTAGAGCAGATATCAATCAAATTTAATTTGATATGAATAAAACTGAGTTAATTCATTTCTTTCCTAGATTCAATGAGAAAGAACTGTCTCTATCTCTTTTAAATAGAGAGATTAAACCCAGTGTAAATATCA